CTAAGGACTTCAAGGACCAAGGACTCCTTGGAGCTAGTCAATGCAAAGACGCAGCTGTTGGCAAAAAATATGTCCCGCCCTTGGAGTGGTGGGCGTGGCTGTGTTGTGCACTTTGCATGAAGCATAAAAGCGAGTTAATGATTCGATGGCTACGCTGATGAGACGCTAACGAGCAATAATCAAATCAAAGATACTTTCTATTATCAATCTGCTTTCGCTGTGCGAAATTGCTCTTAAACGACAAGAAGGCAACAGCAGCAGCAGCAGCAGCAGCACACCGCCTCCCCCCCTGCCACAAACTGGATTTTCTGACAATTTCTTTGGATTTTTTTTTTTGTGTGTTGGCTTTGCTTGCCGCTTGTTTGGTTTGTGGCACACTTGATGCCACCGCAAAGTGAAAATTTAGCTTAACCCCACTTTACAGTGGTTGTGTGGGTCGGAGAGAGGGAGGCGAAGCAGATGCTGTCAGACGGGACTCCAGCTCCAGCTGCAGCCCCAGCCCCAGCCCACATTCTGCTCCCATTCTTGGGCCACCTTTTAACTTGTTTGTTTGCGGCTTTTGGCTTGTTGGGCGCTTTTGCGTTTTCCATGTGCCCGCATATCAATTATCGACTCGAATTTACGCTCTGTCTTCTCTTTCCTGGCGCTTTTTTTCTCTGGGCGCTGGATTTTTCCTAAGGACTGCAAAGATGGGTGGGGACTACTCCAGACTACGGCTGCTCGCTTCGGCTCCTGGCTTTAAGTTCAAGTGCAAGAGGATGCAGAGGAGGATGGTTGAAAAAAAGCGCACAAAAAATGGTCAGACAGGGAGGCCATGCAATGCCGTGCTGATCCCATTTCAAGGGAAAACGGAAAAATAGAGGAAATTCCTTTTGACACCCAATCGAAGAAAGACTAAAAAGTAGGCGCCACAATCAACAGAGAGTTAGCGAGAGAGAGAAAGAGTGGCATGCAGCAAAGAAGAAACTTAAAGAATTTCCTAGAAGAAATGTCGAAGAAAAAAGAGGCTAATCAGATAAATATGGCAAATCGGAAGACTTAAAGAAAGAAATTGTCCAAAGATCCGCCACACATTAACAAGTTTATTCCTGACTAGTGGTCGATATCGGAAGAGTTCTTAAATATGTATTCGAAACTCATTTTTGCTTCTGCTTTTACTTCGAATTATTCCAAGCGCCATTCAAACTGTTCCATAAGGATTTCCTGATCCATCAGTTGTTTCTCTAATAAGAAGTTTGCTACTCCACTCCCCAGCCGACTGCCGGAGCATCAAATTTTCAATCAAAGGGAAGCAAAAGAAAAAAAACACATAGAACCCTGCACCTCTGGTGCCTTCGTCTTGCCGATTATAATTTGTTGTTTGGCCAGGGATTCGGCATCAAACGGATTAGGATCACACGTCTGGGCACATAATTGGAGCTGCCCCGTCTGCTGCCAGCTGCCAAACAGCGTTTGGTGTGAACCTGAAATCCTTTTTTTGCTGCAGACAGGAGACTCGAGACCCTGCTGCCGCCACCCTGCCATTATTTGAATCTTTAATGTCAATAAGCCGGAACACACACAAGAAAATAACAGAAATATTATTGCCCTTTCCTTGGCCTGTTGTTCGTCGTTTTCTTTGCAAATTGACTTGAGGCGACTCCAACTCTGACTCCGCCCTTTGACTCCTACACCCAACCGTATGTCTCTCTCCATATCTCTGTCCGTCCGTCTGCCTGTCCGCTTGTCTGCCCGCAATGAAATTGTCAAATTGTAGCCACGAAAATTCCTGGCCTTCGTGTTGAAAATTGCTGAAGGAAAGAAAAACTTTGGCGATTTGTGTGGAAGCCCCAGAAACTTTGCAGCACACAGTCGGTTCAGTGGCTGCCACAGCAGTTGCACGGTTACGGTAACAGTTACAGTTACAGTTACAGTTACAGCTACAGTGCCACCCAATGTTGTAGTGCCTGCCCGTGGTCGCCATACGATATACGCTCTACGGTCTATGGCCTTTGGTGATGACAAATTGTTGATTTTAGAGCAGGACAATGGCCCCAGCCATGGGCCACAGTCACAGCCCCCCGAGGAGTCATCGCCCGCCCAAACGCCCATCAAACCAAACTCATTTACACGAAAGCCGAGACAATGTTGGAGGCTCTTTGGATATACATTTAATTGCAAGAAATATGCTGTTTAATATATATATAATTAAATATTATGGTGTGGGATACCTTTGTAAGGTGTTTTAATTGAGGTATTTGGCTGACTGCACCGGGAAGGCTTGCTCGCCAATGCCTTCAAGTTACACATTTTGTATATCCCAAAAAGACTTTTATTTACTTTATTTAGTGCACATTTGAATACAGTATTGAATTATGGAATTATGGATTATATTTCAGAAAATATTCAGCATTTTCGACTCACCAGCAAGAGCCAGTGTCCCACTTTAATATGCCCAAAAATTAAATATAAATTTCTGGAAGTATTTCCTTCGTTTAATGTGCGAATCTGCCACCACTCGAAGGGCATTCTCTATTACTTGTTAGTTTCCCATTCCCCACAATTGTTTCCCATTTGTTAGCAGAGTTTAATGATTGGAGCAAGCAGAGGGCATTAAAATACTAAATTATATCAGAACATGAAGATACATCCAAACATTTGTATCACTTAGGGTATTGTAATCTACACCAAAGCCTCTATGGCTGTTATTTTCATATATTGTACGTGTATAATCCCCGCTTATTGCTGGCTCTTGAATTGGCTTTTGGCTTTAAGCTGTGCTCTGATTACCGCTCCTGCTCCTCCTGCCACCTCTAATGTTCGCTTAACTTTTCTTTGCTTTTAATTAGCCTTCTGCTCGCGGCTCTCTCACTCTCTTTGTCATCCATTCCACTGCTACTCTCCCTGCCACCACCGTTTCTTTCTCGCTCGCCTTCTCTGTAATCAAATCCGCGTTGCGTCACAAAGTATTTCCATCGCATACTTTCGCGGAGTGCGCGAAAAGAGCGACAAAAATTATCTAAAAATATTTGTAAAATTGCTTAAATTGTTGTTTATTTTTTTCCATCCTGTTGCTGTTGTTGCTGTATGAAATATTAGGCGAGTCGCAGGCGACAGAGAGACAGCGAGAGGCGAGCAAGGGTTCAAAAGGGCAAAAAGGGACTGACTGGAAACATGCACAGGAAACTGTGGCTAACGATGATGTTGCTGTTGCTGTCGCTGCTGCTGGGGCATGCCCCGCACACCATTTCATTCCGAGTGGAGTGTGAAGGGGTTCTGGGGGGTTGTCTATCACACAACACCGAAAAAACACCTAACAAACTTTTGCTTTCAAGTTGAATGAAGTGTCAACCGAGAGTCTGGTTTTGGTTCTCGGTTCTGGGTTCTGGCTTCTGGGTTTGGGGTTTTGGTGTTTTTTTTTTTGCCTCAACTGGAAGGAAGTGCTTGTTAAACTGCATCCGGCTGTCATCTAATTGCAGACACACACAGATCAAACTCTTGTGTATTTCGTATTTATTTATGGGTTCGTTTTATCATC